AAACACCTTTACAAATAAACCCGAAAAAGCCTTAGCACAACCTTATATAAAAACATAATTATATCCCAATCATTATAACCGTTTCCGAGATACACCAAATTAATTTTATATACATACACATATATGTACCTACAAGAATTACTTATTTAATATTAAAATATAAGATGATACTTATAATTTCACACGAATCTTAGTTATCACATTAATTTCGTGCGAATATATTCCCTTAAACACCACAACGCACAACGCCTCACGACCGAGTATCGATTATTTATTTTCGTCGCCTAGGTCAGTTATAGCTATCGTCCGTCTCGACGAGAAACGACATATATACCTATATAACGTATCAAATTTGTTTATAGAAGGGGGGTACCTTTTATAAATTCGTTTTCTACTATACTAGCTATAGATGACGGATATGTCCGAGTTGTAATCCGATAAAAATATGTTATTTTACTGAGGTATAATCAAGATTTCTATACATTTGTTAGAATAAGTTTATTATTTCAAACTCTAACTCTATATAATAATTAATAATGTACGTAGGTACTGACAAAATACGTGAATCAAAATTTAGACATTGAACGTATTAGTTGAAGGAAAATATCTAAAAGTAAAACTTTCACGTCTGAGAGAACCTAACTAGTATTCTAAAAAACCCGTATATTCCGCCAGCCCGCGTTTGGCGGGCGTGATAGATAATACCTTACTTATTGGGGGAGGCTCGTGTCCCGCAGATGGGTGTAAAAAGTCAATATTATTATTATTATACGCTAGCAAAATGAAAAATTTATGGTTGTATATCACAATACCTAATTTGTAACTAAATGGCCTTTGGAAAATGTTTCGATTTGCTCCATCTAATATATGTTGTACAAGCGACTCACCCTCGCTTCGCTCGCTTTCGTTCCTAGGTTGCTTCACCATACAAACTTTCAGCCCCATGTTCACTCTCTTAAGATATGATTTCCGAGACAAAAATCCTATGTCCTTCCCAGGGTCTCAAACTATCCTCTTATCAAATTTCATCTAAATCGGTTCAGTAGTTTGGGAGCTTATTCGATACAAACAAACAAACATATCTTTCCTCTTTATAATATTATTATAGATCTACGAATTTACACTTCATATCTATAGAATTTAAGCCGAAATGATATCTTTTAAAGAAATACTAGCGGCTCACCCTCGCTTCGCTCGGGTTCGTCGCTAGGTACGTTTTAAATAGATATAAAAAGAAAAAATCTTTCTTTCTCACATTTTAATTATATGTTTTAATACTTACCTATTCCGGACTAAGAGAAATCCAAAAATTAAAATATCATAAAAATTTGAACGCGGTCGAACGGGATAAAAAGTATCCTATGTCCTTCTCCTGGCTCTAAACTACCTCCCTGCCAATTTTCAGCTAAATCGGTTCAGCCGTTCTTGAGTTATAAGCGAAGTAACTAACACGACTTTCTTTTATATATATAGAATAAAGAAATATTAAAACTCCAAGCCTCTCTTCTTCACAGTCGGCTAATAAAGCATCTAAATAATAATTCTGGCCCGCGTAGGTACACACTCTCTCCCTATTCGCGTAGGTCAGTTATAGCTATTGCCGGCGGGCGTCAGACGAGACTGTGTAATGTCTACAGTATGTATATTTCAGGTTAGTTTAGGGGAAGTTTGTAGGTATCAAAGCACCTTATATAATACTTAGTGAAGCATATAATAAAAATATAATATAATAGTCTATATATACATATAATAAAATTATAACTAAGCCGAAACTGTACATTAGATATTTTTTGGAAAATCTTATTGAAGTAAACATTATTATCGATACAGAGGCCGAATCTATAGTTTTTAGATTTTTTGTCTGTCTGTCTGTCTGTCTGTTTGTCTGTCTGTTACCGCATCACAGAAAAACCACTGGAGGGATTTCGATGAAATTTGATATGATGATAGCTGGTTATCCGGGTCAACATATAGGATACTTTTTACCGCGCGAAAATATCTCATTTTTGAGAAAAAATACAAAAACTGCAAAGTAAGAAGAGTATACTAATATGTAAAACCTAAGAATTTGTTTTTTGGTCATCTGAACGCGTGCGGAGCCGCGAGCAATGCTAATTGGTATTATATAATATGATAATCAACGTTATGATGATAGATATTGATTTATTGCACATTGAAAACGCTTAGTTTCTTTATTAGGCACGTGATGTGAGTGCCAATAAACAAAAAACGTGATAATTAAAAGCAAAGATAAAATTTCCAACATAAACACACATAACCAATCGAATATCATTAACCATTTCCCTTATAAATTTTAACCTCATAAAATAATTTCACACCATAATCAAAGTATCAAATCCGCAATACATATTTACATGGTACAAAATCAGACATCAAATAAAGGCGTCTAGGCATACAATAAAACACAAAAAACCACCCCCCACCCCCTACCCCCTACCCCATGGGGGCGTGTCCGGTCGTCGACCTTACAGCTGACGCGCGTCAATGGTAGTACACTGTCGTACGTATATGTTTATAAACGGAAAAACTTTAATGAGTCCACGTTTTAAATTACTATGTATACGATTTGTAATTTTGACCTGACATGTTTTATCGTTAAAGCTAAAAGTATGAGAGCGATTTAATATTTTCATGTAAACAAATCGATTTTAACCACTCGTGTGGCGTATTCAAATAAATCCCATTAATTTAGCTGATTAAGAGAAATGGATGTGAATAATCGAGATTTCATCACATTTAAGTGAGAAATAAAAGGCCTGAAAATTTGCTAGGTTCTCTCAAACATGAGGTTTCCTCACGATGTTTTCCTTCACCACAAGATAAGTGGTAAGTATGTTGGAATGATTCGCACATGAGATCCGAGGTGTGAGACCCGGGATTTGAACCCGCTTCTCTCGGTTTCCCAAGCGAGTGTGCTACCATTGGGCTACCACTGCCTTACAATTTTAATGCCTTTATTTATTGATGATATATACATATATTACTAAAGTTTTAATGCTTGCGACGCAACTAGGTCGTAACGGCTGAACGGATTACGATGTAATTTGGCACATGAGCTTAATGTGCTCTGAATTTGCATTCAGAATACATTTCGAAGAAAATGAGATGGTCATAAATTTTATCCTTTAAATAGTCAAGTGGGAGTCGAACTAGTAGAATGAGTATCTTTTATTTCAATAGGGAATATGCATGTTTTTTTATACAATAGCATAAATTGTTATATAATGGGAAAGAATTTTGCCTTTTTCTCCCGCCAGATGTCGCGATTACTACAGCCCTCAATATATTGTAAAGCTCTATAGCGTGGATGGACTATTTTCATTTTATCTAAAATTTAATTAAAATGAAACCTTGCAGTGCCAGGATACAAAGAAAATGGATATCATTTATTCACAAAAGATAAAAACTGAAGAAATTGTGGGCTAAAGCAATAATACGACCAAACTCGGCGAAATCACAATCTTTATATTTAAGGCAATGTGGATATCACTTTGAAGAAAGTGATTTAAAAACTCTTAAATTGTCTACAGGTGAATATTCTTTTTTTATTATTTGTGCTTTTTTACATATTAATTACAGAGTTTCATACAAAATTTCATCCCCAATTTTACCCCCTTATGGGATTGAATTTCGAAAAATGCTAAAACATTTATTTAATTGTATTGAAGAGCATTAATACCAAGTTTCAAGTTATTCTGATCATAAATAATTCTTTGCCCATATAAACTTTATCACCCCCTTTTACACCTTTAAGGGATGAATATTGAAAAAAAAGCAAATAAATATATTTCCTATATTTAACCCCCGACGCAAATACGACGGTGTTATAAGTTTAACGTGTCTGTGTGTGGCATCGTAGCTACCGAACGGATGAACCGATTATGATTTAGATTTTTTTTTTGTTTCAAAGGTGAATTAGTCGGGAGTGTTCTTAGCTATGTTTGATAAAAATCGGTCCAAGATGGCCGACGCCACAAAATGGCGGATTACATATTTTTTCACTACTCCCTCAATATGGGTATGAAATGAAAGAGCATAACTAGTAGAATAGTATACACTATGATAAATTTCAAATACAAGATGGCCGCCACCACAAAATAGCGAATTGCATGTCGGGAGTTTTTTAAATTTTTAATTTAATCCAGTTATTTATCTTAAAGCTAAACACCACTTTCTGTGTATTTCACATTAAGAATGACAGAATTTCATACAATCTTTAATGCCATATTTTACCCACTTAGGGGACGAATTTTGATTGACATTATATAAGGAATACATCCTCCATATTTCACGTTTCTACGACCAGCGGTTTAGGCTGTGTATTGGTCCATCACACAGTCAGGACCACCACAGGATTCACCTCTCCTCAATTCTTTCTTCAGCTGGTCTAACTTCCAAGTACAATACATTGCACAGGTAAGATGCGAACACAATAGAAGCAGAAAACCAGGTATAAAAGAGATATCACAATAAATTGCTTAACCTCAGACTGAATGTCAAGGCAAAAGATGTCAGACAAATAGGCGATACCTGTGGCGCCCTTCTTTCGATAAATCTTCCCCATTATAAAAAAAATCCAGCTCCAAAAACTAAAATTTAGTAAAAAAAAACAATTTTTAACCTACGGTTACGGATACTTTAAACACCCTCCATTTCGCGCGCTTGGTTTGACGTCACAGTATGATTTACACAGAAAAATGACAACTCAATTTGTAGCGAACAAAATCGCTAATCGCTCTTTTATGATCATACTTTGACGTCATATTGCGCCTGACCAATGGCGTGCGTTTCAACTACTTTGAATTTCCTACTTGTTTTTGCAATTAGGATTATAAAAAAAATCACCTTTATTTAAATCACACGCGTAAACTCTTTCCTCTAAGGCTACGAAGCGTACCAGTTGATTACTTTACCAATGTCACGCAAAAATGGAGAAGACACGAAGGAAAATGGTCAATAAAACAAGATAAAGTACCAACCTTACTAAAATATCCGACAATATGACAGCCTTCGGTGTCAGCACACGTCATCACGTAGAATAGGAACGGCTCTACGTCGTAATAGAGCGTCTTGTGGTCGAGGAAGAACTTTGCTAATAAGCAGAGCTGTTGGCAATAGTGCTTGTGCTTGCGACCATCCACTTGCCAGACCGATAGGTTGTCCTTCCTGTACACCTGGTGAAAATAATTATAGTTTCAAAACACTAAACACTTCCTTTTACCCGACTGCGCGACGCAAATGAGGGTAATTTGTTTATTATTATTAATCTTTGTATGTATGTTTGTTTGTTCCTATTTGGCGTTCTAGAGATAACGCGTAGACAGATTTTGATGATTCATACGTCGTTAGATTCAACTTGATAGCGCGAGTGTCATAGGCTACATCTTGCGGCAAGGATGAAACGTGCATATCTTCGAATGCATAATATTTTACTCCTTTGTCAACTTGTTTTCGTCTTTTTAGTTAGCTTTTATGCAGTCGAGTTCTTTATTTTTTATAATAAATTTTTTGACGGTGGTAGATTTTACAAAAGTTTACAAGTATGTGATTTACAAAGGTTTTAGTGGGTAGTGCTGGATTTTCTAACCGGTGAGTTCACACAATCATGTGTATAAATAAATAAATATGTAGAGACATTGACACACAGCATCATCTAGTTCCATGATAAGCTACAAAGCTTGCGTTATGGATACCAGATAGTTGATACACTACACATATATAACTTTAAACACAAACAGCCACGACTGGAGTACAGCTCACCTCGTCGCCGGGCGGGTGGCGCCAGGCGCACTTGGCGCGGTGGCGCGCGGCGCCGGCGGCGCACTGCTGGTGCTTGAGGCAGAACTCGCACACGAAGAGGCGCGGCACGCGCGCCGCCGCGCCCGGGTACGGCGACGCGTACCACACCTCCATCATGTACTTGCCCATCACCACGTACCTGCCCGACGAACTTATATCGCATTATTATATACTACTGCTGTATCAGTCTTTACTATACACATAAATAAAATTCAAGTGTCCGTTTGTTATATCAACATAAATAAGAGCTTTTTACTAAATGCATATGGAATCGTATATGGTACTTATAAGAAATACACCATTTTTAAAATTTTTGTCTATCTGTTTTTTCCGGCTGATCTCCGAAACGGCTGGGCCAATTTTGACGGGACTTTCACTGGCAGGTAGTTCATGTTATAAGGATTAATTTGGACTACTTTTATTTCAGTAAAAAATAAGACTTCGCTCAAAAAATTAAAATGTACTAAAGTAGTCCATACTAATAAAAACGTCCTTCTGACCGATTTCGACCACGGTGGCCGATCTCACATATCATCTTCTTCTTCACATTAATCTCAACTTATCAGCTACAGAAAATATTATAGTGCAGCGTGTACGTCGGTGTACGTGCAAACACAACGTGCACTGTCTATTCACACTCAAACACCGATGGAACAGTACCTATAAGACTTAAAGTAATTCATCCACTCGTCTGACGAATTTTAGTCTGTCTGTCTGTATGTCTGGGAATGCATCACGAGAAAACTATTGGACAGATGTTGATGAATTTTGGTATAATGATAGCTGATTATCCGGATCAACATATAGGATACTTTTTATTGCGGGAAAATATCTCATCTCTGAGAAATCTATACTAACCGTTAAAACGTATTTAGAGATGAACCCGAGCGGAGCGATGGTGAGTCGCTAGTATATTATAAATCTTTGGAATGAAGAAAAAAAGCAATACATAATACCATTATAATTACCTACATATATTTTTTTCGAAAAAAATATTAACACCACTTTTTAGGTATAACCATTGATATACAAAAATATATATATTTCCTAACAAACATCTCTTCAAAAAGTGGCGGTGACATGTTACGATAAGTCAAACCAAATAACAAAATTCGAGCTTACGCCCACCACAAAAAGTACACGACACAATTTTACACGAAACAACGTGCTTTAATATTCCTTATATATTACACACATTATTTTTCTTATATATTACTAGCATTGCCCGCGGCTCCGCCCGCGTTCAGATGACCAAAAACTAAATTCTTAGGTGTTACATATTAGTATACTCTTACATTGCAGTTTTTGTATTTTTCCTCAGAAATAAGATATTTTCCCGCGGTAAAAAGTATCCTAGGATCGCGCGCTACATCGCCCGGTTTATATAGCTTGAGCAGGCGGTCGAGCGATGCGGGGCAGAGGGGATGGACTCGCCGTAGGCATCTCAATGCTCGCCAAGCATTAAAAATGTTTCGCTACTAATTACTTCTAACAACGATATCTCAAAAACTATTCATCTGATTGATTTAGTGTAAAGAGCAATTTTAATCTGCATTAAATGACTAAGCTAACTAAAATATTCATTTGGATAAGGATTAATACCGAACTAAAGAAAATAACTTTGAAAATAACGTAATGTTTTTAATTAAAAATGTTAACATAAAAGTGGTTATTGTAAGTCAACCGTAAGAGATAGAGATATGCTATCGCGGACTTTTTTGTAGCATTTTTATAGATTTTGAATTCTCTAGTACATTACTTAACTGTATCTTTGCTAGTTTACGCGGCGTTCGCGTGGAAAGTTCCCATTTGGCGAGATTTTTTGCGACCTCTTCAACATTTGTCGCCGTATTTCAGCTAATTTACATAAAAGCATAATAAATTATATACCTAAACCTTCCTCAAGAATTACTCTTTCTATTGTTGAAAACCGTATAAAAATCCGTTCAGTAGTTTTCGAGTTTATCGCGTACAGACAGACAGGAGGACAGACAGGAGGACAGAAAGACGCGGCCGGGGGACTTATTTTTATAATAAGTATAGATTAACCTAGTCAGCAATTGCATTGTCTATACATATAATAAAATTGTAACTAAGCCGAATCTTTACATTAAATATTTTTTGGAAAATCTTATTGAAATAGATTATTATCGATACAGAGGCCGAATCTATAGTATTTAGAACTTGTTTTTAGTCTGTCTGTCTGTCTGTTACCGCATCACAGAAAAACCACTGGAGGGATTTTGATGAGATTGGGTATGGTGATAGCTGGTGGTTATCTAGGTCAGCATATGGGATACTTTTTACCGCGGGAAAATATCTCATTTCTGAGAAAAAATACAAAAACTGCATAATACTAATATGTAAAGACGCGGGCAATGCTAGTTCTCTATAATATTTATTTTAAGCATTAACCTCAATCCACATTATTTTTCTTTTATATTAACCTAATCAGCAACTGCATTGTCTTTATATATTCATTTCATTTTTAAATATAATTAGCTAGACTGAGAGCACCGGGTAGCTCGGACATCGATTCCGAGACGCGTTAAGGAGTAGAGTTCGGAAGTCAAAATACTGTACAAATTGTGTGAGACATCTTAATAAACCTTACCTTATATATATAGGTTTATATCTTAGTTTCATTTAAAACACAAACGGGGTAAACCTCCTAACAGTGCGTTTCAATTTTGTCATCCAAAAAGCAATAAGCAAGAGAGGTTTGAAAAAAACACAATTCAACTTCAAATTTTGCACTTTTTTTCGAAGACACTTTTGATACACTCATTGTTGTGTATATTGAGTTTATGTATACGAGTATAGCCAATTCATAAAAAAGAAAAAAGAATGACCTTTTTTAAGAAGTCTGCCAAAAAAATTGAGAGCATACCTGGTGCCATTATCTGCAGCAATATCATTAAGCTCCTCCTCGATCTTCACAGCAGCCAAGGCTTGGGCGTCTCTGAACAGCCTCAGGTCGTAGTCTGGCGCGAAGCCCTCTAGCACCGGCTCTCTTTCTTCACCCAGTTCGTCGTTAGACGGCATAGACCGGAGCTCTTGACTGCCTTTCCATTTAGATCTCATATCCTTAAATAGGGATGGACGGATAAATACTTTAATTGATTTTAATATTATATAAAACTAATACTTTCTTCGATTTACGCGAATATTTGACATTTTAAATAAAATAAATTATTCAAACTTACACTGGAAGATAGCTAATGTTATAGAGAGTAACAACATAGGCTACTTTTATTTTAGAAAAAGAATTAGGGTTCCGCTCAAAAAAATCAAAACGTACCTAGGGACGAACCCGAGCGAAGCTAGTCGCTAGTTATGTCAATAAAGATATATTCTATTCTAAAAAAATATATATAAAGATTATGTTTTTTTTGCTTTGTTTGAGTTTGTTTCTTTTTAGTTTTTCCTTTTTTTTTTAAAATAATATATATATATATATATATATATATATATATATATATATATATATCAGTATATATATCAGTAGTATACTATTTTTGTTATTAATTATAATAATTTTATAGAAATTAAATAAAGGCTGTGGTATAAATAATATGGTGCATGTTGTGACACCTTCATCAATGTTAAACATTTCTCTATACTTTGATTTTTGTGTTAAGTTTTTAGGTATGATATATTTATAATGTTTTAACAAGTGTGTGTCCTGTAAATAAATAAACAAACGAGCACCTTGACTTTGAGCTGGTAGGCGCGCTGCTCGATGGTGGGCATGGCGCGCGGGCGCTGCTGCAGCGCGGCGAGCGCGCGGCGGCGCGTGGCGGCGGCCGCGGCGCGCTCCTCCGCCGCCGCCACGCACCACGCGCCCGTCACGTTGTGGTACGTGGGGCACGCCGTGAACGTGAAGTGACGCGGGGCCTTACCACCTACACGGTATAATATACGATGTTTAAGGTGACTGCCCACTACACCGTCTCATACCATGACCGTGCTAGGACCGTGTCAGGCAAAAAAATATTCTTTGTATAGAAAAGTATGAGACTGTCCACTAAACCGTTCCGTCACCGACCGGCACCGTTGCGTGCCGTGCACGGAGCGGTAACAATTGTCGGCGAAAATATTTTGCTGGTGCCGATGCGTATGAAACGGTGTAGTGAGCATACACCTTTAAACATTAAAATTCAACTACGGCAAAACAATTAGTATATAGCAATAATACCGATCAAACGTGGGGCACGCTGTGAACATGAAATGAGGGTGAGCCATGCCACCTACACGTTAGGGAAAATACTCTTATAAATTGAAGATCAACGATAAAAACAACTGAAAAAAGTAATAGAAGTATTGGGAAACACGACTACGATAAAAACACCGGTCACATTATGGTACATGGTGCATGCTATGAACATGAAGTGGTAGGGAGACCTTACCAGCTTCAAAATCTAAAAATTAATGTTAAAAAGAGAAAGTCGACTATTTCCATCGGATATAGAGACCTGTGCCCAGCAATAGGACGTTAAAAAGGGCTTAATACATATAGGCGACTTACCAAGATGTCCAGACGAATCGCAATCTCTCACAGGACACCGTCTATCCGAGAGCGCGGTGGATGTGACCGGCAGGGCGGGGGAGCGCGCTATCGCTGCCCGCGCTTTGGCTAACCTTTTATCATCTTTACTGAAATTATACATTAATATTTTAAACTAGCTAACCCGACAACTTTATACTAGTTTCAATAATTATTGTTTATGATCTTTAATGTCATACAAATATTCTTCTTCTCCCTGCCCATTTCCCAAATCACTTGGGGTCGGCGCAGTACATCTTCAGTGTACTGCTTATAGGATTTGGCAAAAGTTTTACGACCGGCCGCCTGCCTGACGTCAACCCTACTTGGGAATAATGTCATACAAATATTGTATAAAAGAAATCCCCAAATTTTTGGAGCAATTTTTTCATATTTTTTTTCTTAAGAAACCTCATTTGGACTATAACAAACGTTTAAAAGGGCACTATTGTTCTTGCTTATTTCAAGTGACGGGCTTAAAACAAACAGAATTTAAATTTTATTTATGGCTATATTATGTTTTTTAATTTTTTATTCCACCCACACAGACCTATAGTATCAAAATGTTAGTCTGCAAAGTCCTAGCCCTTTTTTTATTTTTGAAGGCAGTGGTAGCCCAGTGGTAACTCGCTCGCTTGGGAGACCGAGTGAAGCGGGTTCAAATCCCGGGTCTCACACCTCTGATATTTTCATGTGCAAATCATCTCTAACATGATTACCACTTGTCTTAACGGTGAAGGAAAACATCATGAGGACACCTGTATGTCTGAGGGAACCTAGCAAGTTTTCGAAAGACATGTGAAGTCCGCCAACCCGCACTTGGCCAGCGTGGTGGACTATGGCATGATCTCCCTCGTACAGAAGGGAGGCCCGTGCTCAGTATTGGGCCGTTAAAAAAAGGGCAGAATACATATTTTTTTATTAGCCCAACATTATTCAAAAGAGGTAAAGTTTATTTATTTGTTTATACATAGAAAATAAAGCCTGGAACTACAGCATCGAATCTAAAAATCTTTACAGCAAACATAGCCACTAGTGACTCAAATTGTGATAAGTGCATTCTAGGTTATAGTGAGAAGTCTCACAGTCCCCTATCAATTGACGACCGGCAGGGAACTCATGAACAAAACCACCGAAAATCCGAAAAAATAGTTTTTTTTAAAATGTCGAACATTCACGTAATTCTAAGAAAGATATAACATTAAATTTATCTCTTTAGCTTAATTAGACGTTCAATTAACTGCCTAGTCTCTTAACTAAACGGCGCCATTCAACAACAACAGGGGCCTGAATGATATCCAGCCATCAATCAAAAAGCTAGGCAATTGAGTTGGATCGATAACGTTTAACTACGAGAACTTGCCTAGCATAGTCAAAATTAAGTAAATTTATAAATTTTTCATTTAATATTTGGATTCTTCTAAAACATTTTTTTTTGTATTACGTCATAATCTATACTAATATTATAAAGAGGTAAAGTTTGTGAGTTTGTGAGGTTGTAGGGAGTAATCTCTGGATCTACTGAACCGATTTAGATGAAATTTGGTAAGAAGATAGTTTGAGACCCTAGGAAGGTCATACGATACTTTTTATCTCGGAAATCATCCCTTAAAGGGGTGAAAATGGGAATGAAAGTTTGTATTGAGATGCTTCTCTCATATCTACGGATCATCATAGCTAGGGATGAATCCGAGCGAAGCAAGCGTGAGTCGCTAGTATTTAAAATAAAATACAATATTGTCATTAACACCAGATGCAGAGATACTATGATTACATTATAAGTCAATAACGGATATAATAAATAATTTTAGTCTCACCTCTCTCTCTGTTCTTCTCTCTTTTCCTCTGCTTCCGAGTCTGTATCAGTATGAGTGAGTTTAGTCGCAGTGGCCATTCGTGTGACGCGCGCCGACAGAGACCTGGTCAGTTTGCGCGGCATTGTACCAGTCGGGGAATCCTCGGAATCACCGCTTTTACCTGTTACTTCCTGCTGTAATGTATAAAAATATAGTTGATATAAGTCAAATTAAGTAGAAATCCTTTGATCATATTGGAGTCAGCATTAGATATTATTTTTTTATCCATTCAAGTGCGGTAACCAACCAGTACTCTCATTTCATCTATGAAAATGAATGCATTAAACACTGACATACTCTTGAATTTGAAATAATGTTAGTAATCAATTAAAATCACTAAAAAAATGTTAAAGCACCTCTTATAATCCTCTGAACGAAAATATTTCACGAATATCGTCATACATTTGGAACACTATAATTTGGGTAAATGAGTAGTATAAACTCCAAAAAAGTAAAGGGGATGATTGTATTTGTGTTTAAATCATAAGTCTTATTAGTATAATTGTCCGACATTGTGTTTTCTTAGGTAGAGTTAGGTGTGTCAAAAAACAGCTTCAAATATGACACAAAATATAAATTGTGCCCAACTGGCACTCGAAGAAGCCACGAAATAAAAGAATTGAATTCAATTGGAACAAATTATAAATGTCTTCACAGAAGAAACTGTTGAGGGAGAGCGATATCCACACTTGTGTGTTGTGGATGGAGATACTATAGACTATAGTGTACATGTAGATCACCAATGCAAAGATCAATAAGTATATGATTAACAATATCGACCGACAATATTTTAAGATATGAATATCTAATAGCTAAATATGTATTTTATGCATCGAAATATATTAGATTTCCTTTGCAACGGCTGGCACCGACTTCGAAAATATCTGATTAAGTATCTATTCTAAATGAAAACCCCCGTTTAGTTATTTTTTACATTTTAGTGCCTGGAAGTCGGTTTTTTCTTAAGTTTTTATATTAGTATAGATGTTACTCATAATCAGGATATTTTCAATTTTTATTCTTCAGCAATATTATAATAATATCTTGCCTACGGCTCAGCACAGTAAAGTAAAGTGAAATTATAGCTCACCTTACTACTAGCATTTGAAGGTGGTTTACTGTTGATTGTCTTCAAATCCTCTTTCTTAGTAGGCTCACTGTCACTCTCTGATGACACAGATTCTACAGAAGACTGACTTGAGGAACATGATGATGCACTCTTATCTTCCACTGCCTTCTTTGGTGGTGGCCCATTTGATCGACTAGCCCGTCTTTTAGCACTATCTTTTGAATCTTTAGAATCCTTTGAGTCCTTTGAATCTTTTGAATCTTTAGAATCTTTAGATTCCTTGGAATCTTTTGAATTATTGGAGTTTGAATTATTGGAATTTGAATTTGAGTCTTCATTTTGGACAATGACTGGTGATGGCAGTGGCTCTTTCTCATCACTTGATTTTCTTGTTATTTTCTTATTCCTTGGAGATGCTTTAGGGCTTGTTTTAGATGTTTTACTGTCTTTACTCTCTGATTCTGATTCAGAACTATTATCTGGTGAGAATATACTCTTCTTTTTTAAGGAATTGTCAGGTTTAGAAGTTTTTGGTATAGTTTTTGATATAGCTTTTGATTTGGCTCCAGGAGTAGCCCGTGGGGTTGAAGGTTTCACTTTAGCAAGTACAGATGCAGCATTTTTTATTTTTGTAGATCGTCGTCTAGGAGGCATAGGTTTAGGAGTTGCTGGTTTTGGTGGTTCATCATCACTTGATGATGAGGCTTTTGATTTTGCTGTTGGCTGTGGTTTAGGTTCTTCTTTCTTTTTTGGTTCCTCTACAGGTACTGGATTTGGTTTAGGAGATTTTGGTGCAGGTGGTACAGTTGCTGGAGTATCAGAAGTTGATGATTCAGAGTCAGAACTACTAGACCCCGATCCAGAGCTAGTAGATGAAGTCCCACTACTGCTTGAATCAGAAGTAGAACCAGAGCTACTGTCTGTGCTGCTATTGCTTACCTGAAATGATTAAAGGCATAACTTATTTAGATATCTTTATTATATTTAATTTGTAATCAAAAACTGTGTGGCATAAACACATTAATTTATAGCTAAGTATTAAATATTAATCATTTTAACACAAACATACTAGTTTTCATTTTATGATAATATTAGTATAACAAGATAGATTTTAATTCATGTTCACTATCATTGACAATAATATCATTGAAGTTTTAAGTTTCCTATTTAGTAATTATTGATGTTAACTTATAAATCAAATGTGCCAAAACAAAGCATATAAAATAGATTTGTTTATAGAAACAGTATTAAAAAATACAATACGCTTCCCTAATTCAACTTCGTTTAATATGTAAAGCAGACTGATTTTTAATTAATTTTATTGGCTGCTATCTCTATTTAATATTATTGAGACCATAGAAATAAGTTACCATATTTATATCTAACATTGTAATATATATAATTCTTGGTAACTTCATTTTAATTGCTTGTAACTCAAAATAATGTAAATTTACAACCCAAAAACTAAATGAATACTTACATCCAGATTCGTCATGATAGCAATTTAATAATTCCTTTTAATAGGTGTTTAATTTGTTAAAAATTATATTATAAGTAAATGTCCACCTGAAATATTTTTAATTGTACATTTTCCAATTTAAAAAGAAAAATATTGAATTAAACTAAAAAACAAATCCCCTTTTACAAAGTAGTCAAACAACATTGACAATTTGACAAGTTTTCATACTGCACAGTGTTGCCAAATGCCAATCCTGCTGCTGTTTATTGTTTATGATCACTCATCACAGATTGTACCTCCATTTATTATAACCGTAAAAAAACTATAAGAAACTTAAATGCAACAAAAATAAACTTACAGGTTCTTTATTTTATCATTGTTAGTAGCATTGTACTAATTTCAAAAATACTAGTTAATAAGATTATTTACTTATAGATATTTATATAGCTTAAGTAGAGAGAAAGACTAACAGGAGTGCTTTGCAACCCAAAATGCCAATACGCATCAAACGCAAAGTGTACAAAACCGCAATAAGCTCCGCAATGGCCTACTATGAGGAGGAATGCGGGCCGCTCAAGAAACAATCCGACAAACTACACGCCACCGAAAAGAGAATGTCCAGGTGGGATTGCCGGAGTTACTCTTTTGGACAAAGTGCCAAACTTTTACATCCGAGGAACTTTCAAGGTATGACCGATACAGGATAAGTTACAATAACATGACTACGATAGCACAACTCATGGTCATGTCATGAGGAAACCGGTACATTACATCACCAGGAAAATGCATGACCACAAGTTAGGACCAAAACAGCGCTGAAAGCTCCAATTTACGTGGATGTCTTTAGTTAGAAAAGATAAAGAAAATTGATCCAATGACGATCCAGAAAAAACGTCTGTGGAGAAGAATGATTAGGAGAGCTGACCCCAAATAAAGATGGGACAAGGCCAGAATAAGAAGAAGTATTTTGAAATTGTACCATGTTGAATTAAAGAGAAAATGATAAAATAGTTATAATTCTCTCTATGTATATTTTTCACCCCTCAGTTACACGTATGGAATATCTACGTAGGTACGTATAGTAATTTCAGCCTTTCCGACATGGCCCTCTAAGCGCCCTCGTCTTCACTGACGTTCTTAATCTTATTAAGCTACCTGGAATTAATCGAGATAATGGCAAGAGACCTGATGCTTTGTCGCTATTCCCATGGAAAAGGTTATGTAACCCTACACTAATTGCGATATTTGCCAAAGAAGTTTTATTTCAACCGCGCGTAAAGGTTACACACACCCATTGTTTTTTTGATGGCAAATCAATAGATTCCTAACATATACAGGATTTGCTACGACGCGACGCGACGACGGAATGCAATAACTTTGTAAATACGACTACGGATAGGCTATTGGGATTTGCCGTTTAGTAGTTTGTGATAAAAATGAATAATAAAGGTTTGTTTTTGACGTGGGGAAAGCTTTATAAAGTAATAGTATTCTTTGTAAAGATTGGAGAACTCAGAGCATAGGTATCGCTAATGCGAAGAGTTTATGGCACCTTAGGTGTTCGTGTGGTGTGTATTTTAAGTTCAATACGATTTCTCGTATTGGATATTTCTATCCAAAAACTTAAAATTAGTAGAATTATAAAAAAATGAATTAATAAAAATGAAGGCTATATTTATATTTATAATATTCCTATTATGTTTGTTGTATTTTGTATTGAAAGTCTTATTTTTTAAACCTAAGTATGAAATGTCAAACATATTATAATATGGCAGTACTGAATATTTAATTGTCATTCATCTGTTTCGTAAATCGTAGTGGTAAACTTGAGTACTTTGTTGTTTACTATATCTAAAATCTTTTTGTAAAAATGGTGTGATCAACGGGATGTAAAGTAAAAGATTATCATACGTCGCACAGCATTCGTCATAATGTCGAGCAGTTCAGTTGATGATATACCAGAGCAATGCAAAGTGAGTTTACAAATGTATTTTGTTTCAGTTTTTTCCCTTGTTTTGTTTTTTATGTACCAAACACGTGACCTTCAATTTGGTCCATGTGCAAAATAAATTTACCATCTCTCGGCCTTGATTTCGCACGGTTGTTTATAATTGCGTCACATTCCAACGTTATTTATTTATAAGAATTCAAAGACAATGTAGGTATTATAGAATGAACATAGAGCAGCCATAACACATCCTAGTGGTTTCTGTTTATATTTTATAACAACAAGTCATTATCTTGGATGATACTCTTTGCTGGATGTTAGATATAAACCTTTCTTTGTTTGCAATTAGCTGAACTACTGTATATATACAGTAATAATAACCACTACACATACAGTATAGTACATAGGTACTAGATCTATAAATAAATAGGTTTACACAAAAAATAAACATTTAACATATTATAATAATCTCTAAAATAGATCTTGTCAAGATAAAAATGTAAGATGAATTTAGAACATTAACTATATAGAAAATGATAATAACTCCTATAGTTATTATGATGAAATCTGTTGAAGTTATAATAAAAATTATGCTTTACATTACAACTTCATTGTTATGATTGTTGAAGTATTTTCACTCCAAGTATTGAATATTATTGTCATTTTCTAGGACTTGTTCACTCAAGATGGAGTTCTCCTCAAAGCATGTATTGGTCGTCCGATTAATGATATTAATTCAATTGGAATGCTCTGCATAGTTCAAAATCCTGATAGCACCAAATGTATTGAATGGCGACCAAATGATCTCATCACAATTGATTCAGACACTCAGGATCAAGAGTGGGCTGTTGTTAACACCATTGGTAATATTATATTTTAACATTATTAATATGAAAATCATAATATGTAAATCAGGACATCTGATTTTATTTTCTGTTACTTTTTTGATTTTTGAATGATTAAAATATACATTTTCATTCTTATGTTCTCTTATTCTAATATATTTCAATTAATTTAAAGAAAAAACTGTAAATTATCTTTTGTTGTTGTTTTTTAAAATAAGAAAAAAAAATGACTATAGAGCTCAATGGCAAAATTAACATAAACAATATAATAAAAAAAAGAATAAAATTTGAACAATACCTAGTTGGATGCATTGTTTTAACTTTGAATGTATTCCTAAATATAAAGATAAACATATATACATATTTGCAAATTAAATGATTTTTGAAGTTATACTTCTTTTGGTACATTTGTAAAAAATTATGAGAGTAAAATTTTTACGATGCGCGTGCACACCGACAGCCCAAAAGCGACATGATAAAGTTAGCTGCATCCCTTTTACAAACCGAAAATTGTAACATTTAGGTATATTTGTTCTATTACGCCAAAGAAATGTAACTTCTTATGTGCGTAATAAGTACGCAAACACGTTTTTTTTAATCAAATCTGTATTTAAAATTTTATCTGGCTGTGATAAGATATTAGAAATTATTTATATATTTTGTAATCTGTTCTATTTTCTTTATAAAGATATATCTTTGAGATATATTTTTATGTGTATGAGTCATGTTTTATTTCATTTATTGAGGAATTTAATTGTACCTAGTATTTGCTGGATAACCTTTACTCTGTAGATAGCTGGTGTCATTGACATATCAATGATCTCGGAATACATTACAACAGTTGCATGAAATAAAATGTACAGTTCAGACATATATTTAGCTCATATTGTTAATTGCATGACACCAAAGCCTGAATTGCCATGAATAAAAATTTTATCATCTGCTTGAACCCTGTGCTAGAATTAATGAATCAATTTTGATGGAGTTTTTGAATAACAAAAATAATTATATCTAAATAAAGAAAAAAAATCAAGAATAGATAGAAGAAGGATGTTTTAATCAATTTTAAGTAACTTTCACTTTCGTTATACATATGTGTTGAAATCAACAAAGAGCGTAGCATAATGAAGCAAAGTAGGATTGGTCAATAGTATGAAATAATCACAACGATGCTTGTGACAAGTTAAAAATTTGCGCCTTTTTTAATCCCTAATGTAATTTCTTAATGTTTTTTATCTAATGTAGAACAAAATGGCTATTTTTCACTTTACTTTCATCAGAAAATTGATTCATTAAACTATAATAAAATTAAATAAAGGTGCCAGTTATTTTTTTAAGAATTGAAACCATAAAGAACAATTGTTTCCAGAAGGCTATATACTATATACTTTATTTATTTGTCTCATAGATTTTAACAAAAATATTTATTTGCATTTCTTTACACATCATACATCGTACAAACTGCATCTCTTTCAATGTTACGTTTGATTACGTCATCGGATTCAAGTGTAAAGCAATTGTATTTCATTTAGCCACATGTGTTCTCATCTTGCATTGGATGCTGCTATTACCTTTGAAATTAATTCATATAAAATTGTTTATGCTCTGGCTACTACGCTGACATTTGGGGGTTTGATACACACCGAACACTCGTTCTATAAAAAGCAAGCGTTTACCCGCGGCTCAGCTCCCGTAGGACATTAAGTATATCTTAAAAAAATATAATCCATGTGTAATTCTGATGTGTAAGCTATATAGTATTACTGTCTCGGTGGTGTAGTGGCTAGCATGTACGGCTGCACACTCGGAGATCCTGGGTTCGAGTCCCGGGTCGGGCCAAGTTTAGTTATTGAGTCTTTCTGTATAGTAAGTCTCAGTAACAGCCCGGAGTTGGGAAGTTGGCGGTGTTTCACTCCCGTGCCTCGGAGAGCACGTAAAGCCGTCGTTACTGTGCCTTAACCCTCACTGGTCGTGTCAAATGGTCGTCCCACCGGAGTATGAGAGTGACAGGAACAGAGAGTGCACTTGTGTCTGCGCGTACACTTGTGCACTATAATATCTTCTGCGCAGTTGGCTAGTCTCAATGAGATTGGCCGCCGTAGCCGGAATCGGCTAGGAGAACATCATCATAGTATTACTGTAAGTTTCATTAAAATCCGTTAAGTATTGTTTGCGTAAAAGAACAACAAACATGAAGAGTACATTTTCAAAGTACTATTAAATATTGTAAAACATGTGCAGGTCGTCGCCAGAGAACTCTAAGCGGCAACATGACGTCTGATTACGCGGCAGCCAGGGCTCGAATCATTCGAATACCCCTAGAAGAGCTGAAAACATTCAAAATATCAAGAAACAATCAACAGATGCAATTCACAACAAAACAGGGCGTGTGGCAGAACACTTTCTATTTTCAACATGGTAACGCGGAAATATTCGTAGCATATCTCAAAAATCACGTCAAAACTGCTAAAACAAGACACGACAGAAACACGTATATGGTGGTCGAGCCGAATATTGAATCGCAAGTGCTAAACCGTTCTTTTGCCGAACTGGATATATTTACAGAGAATACGACAGACGTTGTTTGGAATTTGGTGTCAAATTTAAGACAGAGGCCATACGAAACTACTATGGAGGCGTTTTCTAAACTCACTGATATTGGTAAGGTTTGATTGGTTTTGGGAATGATTAACTAATTCTTCTTTTAGCCGTGTAAGTCGCAATACTGACATCACTATTTAATCTGTGTGAATAATTATAAATTATTATAAAGCCAGTGGTAGCCGGAAACCGATTGAAGCGGGCTCTAATCCCGGGTCCTTACATTTCTGATATTTTCCATGTACGAATCATTTCCACATGGTTACCAATTTTTTACGATGAAGGAAAACATCATAAAGGAATCTGCATGTATGAGAGAATCTAGCAAGTTTTCGAAAGACACGTGGAGTCCGCTCCGTATTTGGTCTGACTATGACTTGAATATAATAACAGTAATACAATAATTAGGATCTGACTAGAAGGTGGATAGTAAAATTAAATGGCTTCTTTGAGTTGGTTCAATTCACTGGTTTTGATGAACCCCATACATTAGGACCGGCCAAAAGGATTCTTTTAGCTTTTTATTTTTAATATTATAAATTATAATAATTATTCCAATACTATAGTAGCTACTCGGTATATTACAAAACGAGGGTGGATTACTTATATTATATATTATACATCATTTTGGGTTAGTGTAAAACTCTTTTGGATTTTTTGATAATATAGACCATTGTCAATAACCATAGAATAAACTTTCTCTAAAGCAAAATAAAACCGCGAAAATATTCAAAGAAATAGTTTTAAACTGCCGAAAAACTAAGAAATTATTATTCTATGACAGTTTACTACGGTAATGAAGCAATGAATGGCAAGAGGGACGTGTCGGAGGAAGTAGCAGATCTGCTTACCAAAAGTATGAGTGCCCTGGAGGATGCTACCTCCGTGACCAGGAGTGATGAGTACGAGGTGATCAATGTGAAGCCCACATTGCCTCCACGACCCTGTTTACCTAGGTTTGTATACCCAATGTTGAACAATTGTTAGTATATATATTAATATGTGAATCAAAAAATTTTTACCCCTTTTTACGAAAATTGCGCGGATGGAGGAGTATGAAATTTCCCACACTTATAGTTTGGTGGTGTAGGAGTGCAGAATGCATCTAAAATACATTAAATTAATTAAAATAAACATTTTGTTTGTGAATCGATCTGTTTATATTTTGCTTTACTTTAATAGCTATTGACGAGCTTTAGTTTTATAATTAAAAAAAACAATAATAATCATGGTCGAAGTTCGACCACTCGGTGAAGTCTAGTTAAAAGGAAATGACTCAGAAAAAAAAATCTACTGAAAGTATAATATTTTAAGTAATTAAATAGTATATTTTAATAACAAGCGATATAACCTCGCTTCGCTTCGATGCTTCTCTACTCTCTAGGTACTCTTTAATTTTTTTGTGCGGAACCCTAATTCGTTTTCGAAAGTAGTAGGGAGAGTTTCAAAAAAAAAAGAGGAGATTTTGGGATTTACTCAAGCGCGGTAGATTACCATAAGGGGAGATGGATACCTTGCACTCTGTTGAGTGCCTCCACCATATATAAATCCTCTGTATAAGGTCACACGTCTAGGGTGGCCGATCAAAATATAAAACTAATATTTTGATAAGTTAGAAATACTTGAAACCATCAGATTAAGGTGTGATGGGCTAATTACATGTGGAAAAGTGTGCAATTCAATAATCTGCCGATTTCGCCAAGCCAAAGAGGCAAACATATACTATAAACTTTGTAGACCATTTCTGTATCAATCAAAATTCATACCTAACATCCTCTCGCTTATATGACTTTCTTCCCTCCTCATTGTATGTAATCTCAGCTTTTCAGTAAATAATGCCACTTTCGACTTAGTATCTTAACACAACAACGTAATAATGAGTTCTAAAACAATGTGTCACGTATGAATACAATTTTCAGAGGATCCCCACTATCTACAGAGAAATGGGAGGGTCTGCAGGACCCAGAAGGTCGAGTCACAGAAGTGGAGGGCGTGAAGCAACTTATTTTTAGAGGAGTAAGTTTGTTATGTGCCAGTTTCTTTTCTTAATGTTCCCTACTAAACCTATACTTCTATGCCATAAAGTTTAAAAAAAAAGTTAGAAAAAAAAACAAAAAAGAAAAACTGGCTATTCATAAGTTGGACCAGCGCTAAGAATTCTTAATGTTTTCTTGTGCTCGTTCCATAATTTCGTTTTCTTGAGCTTGTGATCTGAGAGAATCAATATGAAACGGTGTATTTTAACGGTGTTAGGACTCAAGTCTGAGGAGTCCGACTAGGTGGGTACCACCCCTTTATCTGCCAGCGATCGTGGGTTTGAATCCCGCTGATTCATTTGTATGAGCACAAATGTTTGTACTCCAGTCATTGGTGTTTATATTTATAATATGTATGTATTTAAAGTTATATATGTGTAGTGTATCAACTATCTGGTATCCATAATAGAAGCCTCGTAGCTTACCATGGAACTAGATGGTGCTGTGTGATAATGTACCATCATATTTATATTTATTTATAAAACATGATGTGCATGAACCGTAGGTGTAATAGGCGACATGTACCGCTTTCCATCAGGTGGGCTGTCTGATATTTTATCACTGAGCACCATTAAAAAAAACTTACTGCCCAATATTTTTTAAGCAATAATTCTGTAACTAACAAATTTATTTACAGGGTGTCGCACACTCAATACGGAATTCCGTTTGGAAATATCTCCTCGACTACCATCCGTGGAGGATGACACACAGCGAAATAAAGAACTTGCAAAAGAAGAAAACAGAAGAATACTTCTCAATGAAACTCCAATGGCGTTCCATGACAGAGGGACAAGAGTCAAGATTTTCTGAATATAGAGACAGAAAGAGTCTGGTAGAGAAGGATGTGAATAGAACGGACAGGACACATCCATTTTTCGCAGGGGATAATAACCCCAATTTAATGATCCTACAGGATATTCTGATGACATATGTGATGTATAACTTTGATCTCGGCTATGTGCAAGGCATGAGTGACATTTTAGCACCCCTTTTATTGCTGTTGGGGAACGAAGTGGACAGCTTTTGGTGTTTTGTTGGGTTTATGGATAAAATTGTGAGTGTTTCTTTTTTTCTTTTTTGCTGTATTTAACAGAATACGGTCAGTCTTATATGAGTACGTTCAGTAGTTTTTATGTAATGGTTTGACCAAGGAAAAATTGTTTTTATCTATATAAATAAAAATGAGTGTTCGTATGTTTGTCCTCTATGCGTTCATAAACCATTGATCTAATTATGATGAAACTCTGTTGGATTATTCTGTATACGCTAGCGAAGGGTACGTTTTAACTTTTAGTATGGAATATATAGACTACATATTATATACATATATACATAATATGTAGGTATGATGAGTTGTTGTAGGTTGTATGTGACGAGTTTTCCCGTGGGAATGAGATAATCTCCCGCGGTGAAAATTAGCCTATGCCACTCTCCAGCCCTCCAACTATCTTCACACAATAATTCACCCCAATCCGTCACTGTTTCCACGTGAAAGGAGGACAAACAAATAAACACACTTTCACATTTATAATATTAGTATGGATAGATTATAGTAGATACAATCAATATATTAGTAAAATTTCCAGGCATCAAACTTCGACATGGACCAAGCCGGTATGAAGCAGCAGCTCTACGACCTGCAACAGCTGCTCTCGTTCGCGAGTCCCGAACTGGCGAAACATTTGGCTTCCAAGGACTCTGGGAATATGTACTTTTGTTTCCGATGGCTCTTGGTTTGGTTCAAGCGAGAGTTCTCTCATAGAGATATTATGAGGTGGGTTTTATATCATAACTAGCGACTCACCCTTGATTTCCTAGGTATGTTTAACGGTTGGTATGAAAGACAAATCTTTGAATTTCTCGGCTTTTCTGTACTAAAATATGCATGTATTATACATATAATAATAAATAATAATAAATCTTTAATTCAGGCAAAAACCCATAATTACACAAAAAAAAAGAAGATAAAACGAAAACACATACAATTTATCTATTCTAAGAATTAGTAATATAAAATACTTTACCTAAACACACCGGCATATTTAGCGGAACATAAAATAAAGGTTTGATATCAGTATCAAATAAGGTTGCTGGCTGGTTTATACTTCATTTAATTTAAAAAGAAATATTTTCAAATTAAGAAAACAACTGAACATCACATTTTATGCAATTGTTTTAATTTTATTCAAATACACCTTATCTGGAGCGAACTTCGAGTATTTCTTCCTTCTGAGTTTGATTTAAAATTTCATTGAAATACTGTTTTTTGTTAGTTTTTTTTAATCGCGTATCTTTTTGGAGTTGAGGACTGAATTATGCCTGACTTAGACCCAACGGAGATTGCCAGGGCACTCGAAATGCGAAGAAATGGTCAAACCTACAGAGTGATATCCAGAGATCTTCGTCGACCAGTTTCAACGATCCATCGCAGTATCCAATGGTTCAGGGAGACCGGTACTTATGTGAGAAAATCAGGACAAGGCAGAAAAAGACGCCCTTCGAGTAGGGATGACCGTTTCATTCGGCTTCGTGTACGTAGGAACCCCCGTTTGACAGCCTTCCAAGCTCGACATGAGCTAGAAGCAGTGCGGGGTGTAACCGTAAGTGAGCGTACGGTACGAAGAAGGTTCGAAGAAGCTGGTTTGGGTTCATTTGTGCCCGCCAAGGCTCCAAGGCTCCAGGTAAATCATCGTAGATACAGGTTAACTTTTGCTCAGGAACATCGACTTTGTAACGCGGACCAATGGAGTAAGGTATTGTTTAGTGATGAGTGTAGAATTCTCTTAAATCAAATTGACGGCAGGCAAAGAATATACAGACGCAAAGGAGAACGATACATTCAGACAAACTTTGAAACTACAGTTGCATACGGTGGTGGATCAATAATGGTTTGGGCGGGCATTTGTTTGGGAGCTCGCACAGACTTGGTAGTGATTGACAGAGAGTCTGACTGTAGACCGCTATATCAGAGAAGTTTTAGAAGAAAATGTCGTACCGTTTGCCCCATATATCGGTAACGGTTTTGTTTTTATGCAGGATAATGCTCGGTAACTCAAGCTTATCTTAATGATATGAATATCACTGTTATGGAGTGGCCGGCAAGATCACCAGATATGAACCCAATAGAGCACGTTTGGGACTTGCTGAAAAGAAAAGTTAAGTCCAGAATTCCAGCTCCTGCCAACGTGGGTGAATTGCGAATCACCGTAGTTGAGGAATGGCGGAGACTATCCCAGGAGACCATCGATAACATCATTCTCAGTATGCCTAGACGGGTAGAAACTTTAATAAGAGCACGTGGAGGAAATACGTGATATTAATCACCATTTTTCTAATTTAATTAATTGTTATTTTAATATTAATTTTCACTTTTCCCGGTTATATGAAAAGTTCAAAAATGTACAATTTTTCACAAATAGCCTTTACTCGCAAAATCTGTTTTTAATGTGATCTCATTTTAAGTAAAACAAATGAAACTTTAAATAACAAAAGAAGTGTAGTAAGTAGATTTTAAAATAAAACCATATTTTTTTAATAATGGACCTTTTTTTTGTGTTCCGCTAAATATGCCGGCGAGTGTATGTTAGCTTAAGAAGAGAAAAGAAGAAAAAAAAACATATCAACCCTCCTCTTGAATCACTCCATCTATTGCTGAAAACTGCATTAAAATCCGTTGAGTAGTTAAAAAGATCTAAGGGAACAGACAGCGGAAGTGAATTCATTTTATACTATGTAAAGACTAGACTTCGCTCGGGTGCGTTCCTAATTATATTTTAATCTTTATTAAATGTTTTTTTTGTCGATTTTTGTATAGTAATAGTAGATTTTTTTTGCACGAGTTCTGTTCGTGTAGTAGATGCGATAAAAAGTATACTATGTATTAATCCAAGTATAGTACGTTTTGATTGTTTTGAGGGGAACTCTTGTTTATTTTTCTGAAATAAAAATAGGTTACTGAGACATTAATTACGTAAGCTGTTTTTTCGCTAGTTTTGTTTAAAAATAATACAATGTATGTAAGTCCGTCAGCCAATGAACAAAGATGGCGACAAAATATATTCCATATTCCATCTCTTTCGTTCTCGTTTCATTGGCGATTTACAAAATTGGCGAATTATCGAGAGAATGAAATTGATACGATATATTTTTTTACAACGCGTGAATCAATCATCCTTAAATATTATGCAAATTCCAAATTTACGATTTCATGAAAAAGTCCGCGATATGTGTGTAATGTGTATTTCCTAAGATACGATAACAATAACTATTTTTATTTACTAACTAGTGACTCACCCTCGCTCCGCTCGGGTTCGTCCCTACTTACGTTTTAACGTTTAGTATAGATTTCTCAGAGATGAGAAAATTTCCCGCAGTAAAAAGTATCCTATATGTTGACCCGAATAACCAGCTATCATCATACCAAATTCATCAAAATCCCTCCAGTGGTTTTACTGTGATGCGGTAACACATACGACTGCGGACACATAGACAGACAAAAATTCTAAAAACGATAGATTCGGCCTTTGTATCGATAGTAGTGTTTATTTCAATAAGATTTTCCAATTAATATTTAATGTACAGATTCGGCTTAGTTATAATTTTATTATATGTATGGATAACGTACCTCGGACACACTCGAGGCAAATTAGGGTTAATCGCTAGTGAATAATATAATATCTTATTTCAAATATTACAGGCTTTGGGAGGTGCTGTGGACAGGGTTGCCATGCGCCAATTTCCATCTACTGATCTGTGTTGCCATACTCGACGCTGAGAAAGATATTCTTATAAGCAAAGATTATGGATTTACGGAGATATTGAAGGTATGTTCTATGATTTTTTATAACTTCTATGTGATTTCTAATTGATAGAAAAAAACTATATACAGAAGACAATATTAAACAAAAAGTTAAAAAATATTTTTTATTATATAAGTTAGACAGTGGTAGCCCAGTAGAAGAAACCTAGAAGCGGGTTCAAATCCCGGGTCTCGCACCTCTGATATTTTCATGTGCGAATCATTTTCAACATGATAACCATTTGTCTTATGGTGAAGCAAAACATCGTGAGGAAACCTGCATGTCTGTGACAATCTAGCAAGTTTTCAAAAGACGTGAAGTTTGGCCACACTTGGCCAGCGTGGTGGGCTATGGCCTGATCCTCCTCATATTGAAGGGAGGCCCGTGCCCAGCAGTGGGACGCCAAAAATGGCTGAATATGTATATAGTTAGCATTGACCAAATTTTATGAGGCATTTCATTTGCTATATATTTATTCCATACATATACTACTTGAATTTACTACATTATATATACTATGCGAAAGGCGAATTTTATTTTATGCCATAATATTATTAAATGTAAATAATACTTATTATTCCAGCATGTTAACGATCTATCAATGTGTCTGGAAGTGGATAGAATATTGAGCACCGCAGAGGGCATATACCACCAGATCATAGCTACCCCGCACTTGTCGGACCAGATCAGAATCATCCTAGGCATTCCCACAGTCCAGGCCAGACCGGAGCCAGACCCAGATACAGACCTAGACCAGCCAGAGACCAGCCAGGCCAGACCCAATGGTAATGGTAATACATCAAGCGAGGATACGATGGAAGAAGTTATGTATCAGATAGGCTTAGATATGAACTTCTGAGGCACGTTGGTTTTTTAGTTAGCATGTATTAGTGTATGTTATAGAAGTAACTTGTTGTAGAATTGATTTTATTGAATGTTTGTTTATCGATTTTTGTATAGTAGTATTACACTAGGTTTTGCACGCGGTTCTGTTCGTGTAGTAGGTGCTATAAAAAGTAGACTTTGTATTAATTCAAGTACTTATATATTGTTTTGTCTCCATTTTGAATTTCTCTCAAATATATTGAGAGAAAATATAAAAATGTAAAAAGCACAAACTTTTACATGCTAATACTAATAATATATAAAGAGTTAAGGTTTGTGAGTTTGTGAGATTGTGAGTTTGTGACGTTGTAGGGGGTAGTCTCTGGATCTACTGAACCGATTTAGATGACATTTGGTAAGAAGATAGTTTGAGGCCCTGGGAAAGACATAGGATACTTTTTATCCCGGAAATCATTCCTTAAGACGAACCCGAGCGAAGCGAGGGTGAGTCGCTAGTTTATAATATACATATAGGTATGTTTTAACGGTTAATATAGAATAGACTATATATAATTATGTGCTTAGATAAAGAAAATGAAACCTTTACTTGAGAATGAGAAGTTTGCTTATAAAGTTACTAATCAAAGCTTATTCAAAAGTATGTACACTAAATATTGTTTTTTTTTGTATATTTGAAATTATTGTATGGAGATAATTCTTCCGGTAATTCAATGTTGCAAGAACATTTTTAATGTATTAGCTTAGGTTATTATAAATTGAAATTAAGTAAAAACTGTTGATATTATGTGACTTATAAAGAAATGGTTATTTCATTTCATTTTTATTTCAAATATCAATAATATATAATATATAAAAATCGATAAAAATGTTCAATAAGGTAACTAAGTCATGTATCTCATGTACTAAAGCTGCTAACTTGTCATATTATATTAAAAATTACATCATTATAAGCATTAGATATTCATATATAAAATAGTAACATAATACTTTTTAATATATATTTTTATTAATGGAAATGTACTATTATAACATAATGTATATTCAACTAAAAAATAGGGTCTGTGCAAATACAGTACCTTTAGCAAAAAAAAAGCTTTCTATCTAACTCTGTATGTATTTCTTGTTTGTTTTTTTTTTAATTTAAACCAGTTTTAAGCAAGTGTACATGATAGTATAATCCGTATTATTTCCGTATTAATATTATAAATGTGAAAGTTTGTCAGTATGGATGTTTGTTACTCTTTCACGCCAGAACGGCTGAACGGATCCGAATGAAATTTGGCACAGAGATAGATTATAGTCTGGAATAACACATAGACTACTTTTATTCCGGAAAAATGTACGGTTCCCGTGGGATAGGTTTGTTTTTGTTTTCGCTAGTATTTTAGAATGGAAAGTTTCATGCTAAGATAGTGCATGATTATAACGTTGACAATATAATTATTATTACTGTTTCAAAACGATTTTGAACTTTATACCTTCCTTAATTAAATAACATTTAACATTCAAAGTAACCCTGAAACTATTTCTTGCATAATAAGCTTTGATTCAATTCTCTCAGTAATGGATTTTTGATGTGCTAATAATAATTAATTAATCTTTTATCGTTTAAAATTTAGCCAGTTTGTCATTTCTTTAATATTCCGAGAGCTGGCGACGAATTTTGGGAAGGTCCTTTTGGCAAGTTGAATTGTGAAAAAATATAATTTAGTGAATTGGAGAGTCTGGTATAGCTTTAGCGGTTATTTCGTTACTGCGCAGTATATAACATTTGCAAAAAAAAATATCCAAAAAAAACATATTTTTGGCAACTTGATTTTTGTGTAATCTTTTAATTTAGTTTTCATATAATTCAAAAAAAAAAGAACCCCAGACGTTTTTGTCGGTTATAAAGTATTGCCAGACCTCTTCAAAGATGCTTTATTAAAATTCCCAAAAAATATACTTTTGGCAATCTGAAATTTTAATTAGGTATTTATTGAGTAATTTTCAATAATACTTGCAAATCGCCAGACGAATTTATCGGTTATAAACTATTCCCAGACGTAAATAAAATTTACAAATTAGTACTACAAAAAAGTCTTATGCGTAGCCATAGGTGTAAGAAAGATAGCTTATCGAGGTATGCCAGCAGCTGATAGGGGCCCAAGGTCCTCGCGCTGTGATTGGTTATCGAGAAACCGCACGTTTCGAGTATGGTTCGGGCTCTGCGTTCACAACAGAGTATTTTAGAGTAGTTTATTAGGGTTCCGTACCCAAAGGGTAAAACGGGACCCTATTACTAAGATTCCGCTGTCCATCCGTCTATCTATCCGTCTATCTATCCGTCTGTGTCCAGGCTGTATCTCATGAACCGTGATAGATAAACAATTGAAATTTTCACAGATGATGTATTTCTGTTTCCGCTATAACAACAAATACAAAACAATAGAATAAAAAAATATTTAAGGGGGCTCCCATACAACAAACGTGATTTTTTTGCTATTTTTATAGATAATGGTACGAAACCCTTCATGCGCGAGTCCGACTCGCACTTGGCAAGTTTTTATGTTTTATTTAAAATTGAAAATTAATTAAAAATGTATAAAACAATAATTACGCTTTCACAATACACAATACAATTGGCAAATATATTTTTGGCAACTCGATTATTGTTTAATCTTTTAATTTAGGACTCGCGCATGAAGGGTTTCGTAGCAATATCCGCGCCAAAAGGACCTTCCCAAAATTCGTCACGAGCTCTCGGGCTATAACTTCTAACAATTTTCTTATAAATTTATGCATTATATACTCGTGGCGCCATCACAGGCAGTGAAATATTTCAATGTATATATATCTCTTCTGATTAAAAAACCATTGGGTTTAGCCAACCAATTGGCAACAAAAGTAGTTATAAAAGACTTTATAAACAAATTATGATCTTTTCAGTTTAAATTGGCATGTTACGACTTGGGTAACTTTGAGTTTTATATAAACTAGCGGCTCACCCTCACTTCGCTCGGGTTCGTCCCTAGGTACGTTTTGAATTTTTTGAACGGAACCCTAATTTTTTTTCTATGTTACTCCCTATAACATCAGTTATCTTCCAGTGAAAGTCCCGTCAAAATTAGTCCAGCCGTTTCAGAGATTATCCGGAGCAAAAAGACAGACAGACAAAAAATTTAAAAAATGTGTTTTTCTTACAAGTACCGCTTATAATTTCATATGCATTTAGTAAAACGCTGTTATGTAGATAAATAATACATAGACTAGCTGTACTAGTAATTATAATATATAATAATTTGTGTATACTTTTTATTTGTTGTATTTTCATGCATGATATTGATGTTATTTTAGTATAGGTAATATAGTTTTTTTTATAACAATAATATTAAAGTGTTATTTACTCTCAAGGCTGTTTTTAATAATAAATGAATCTTATGTTTGTTAACGTCTGACTATTAACGCTTCTTAGATAATAGGGATATGCGTGACTTTTTTTATCTTTATATATTATATAATTCTTCTGTGAGTGTGTATGTCACTGAACTTCTCTCAAACGACTGGACCGATTTTGATGAATTTTTTTGTGTGTGTTCAAGGGGATCTGGGAATGGTTTAGATTCACAATTTGAATAATAATTTTCATTAAAAAAATTATTAAAAAAAGTTTGAAATTTTCAAATTAAAGACGTGTAGACAGGACAACGTCTGTCGGGTCCGCTAGTATTTTTATACAATAGCTAACATCGTTATTTAATTGTAAAAAAATTCCAGCTACAAAAACTTGAATTAGTATTTTTTTTTTATTATCATACCGACACGGATACTTGAAACGCCCGACATTTCGCGCGCTTGGCGTGTCGTCACAGTAATTATACATAGAAAAATGACGACTTTAGTTTGTAGCGACAACATCGCTAATCGCTCTGTTATAATAATACTTTACGTCATATTCGGTCTGACCAACGGCGAGCGTTTCAACTACTTCGAATTTCCCACCTATATTTTTACTTTTTAATAATTATTTTCTTAATGAAAAAGAAATATTAATATAGGCTTAACTCAAAAAAAAAACTTCATTTATATCACACGCATATTCCCAATTACAGCCACTTTTATATTATAATATCTAAGATGTTTTTTTAATGTAATTATATTCTCATTTTCTTTGCAGGTTACACTCGAATATAACGGCCTACAGATATCTGTCGTGACAAAAACCGTTTGGGCGCTGCTTGCATAAGTTCAAACATAGACTGTAATAAAGTGATATTTTATATTTTTATAAAGCACACTAATTTTTATGGTTATTGAACTAATCAAATTATTTATATAAAGGATTTATCATTTATTACGTAAGGATGTTTTGTGTTGTTCTAAATTTAAAAAAAAAATAACCCACCTGTCAATTGTTGTCTATTGATTTTTTTTTATCTCTTAATGTCTTACGCAGTAATTGCTAATAAAATTGTCAATGTAAGAAAATTTCAAATGCTTGATAGAAAATCTAAAATGTATGTAGTGTTTTTTTATTAGTCTTTACTTTGTTTACTTTTTTATTTACCGTCATAATTTGGCATTGGTGTTTTCTTACACGAAACTTACTAATTAAATTCACTATATAATTGATATTGTTGTAATTATTGAGAGTAATTTTGTTTTGTCACTTGTTATTTTTTCTTCACAGAATTTGTTTCCTAAAGCAAGGCACTAGAAGCTTTAACTTTTATTAATATTTCTGTACTCATATGCCATAAAAAATTGTAAATAAATAAAGTTTATATTCGACGGCCTTTGATATTAAAAAAAAACGTTGTGTCTATGCCACAACTTTTTCTTTCAAATAAACTGATTAACCTCCAGTGCAAATATTTACTGAGTCAGATGCTTATTATCTATGAACCGCCAGTAGATTTTCTTACTGAGGGTTTTTGGAATTAAAAACAGTACAAAACATTTCTAATATTACTGAATTAATAACAGTTTTAATTTCTTTTTATCAATATAATGGGATCTTTGATGTATAATTTAATTATTTTAATTTAATACTAACATAGACTAAATAGTTATTTTATCTGTCGAAGTTAGTTCTGCCACTAGCCGAAAGGAAGTCTCGGCGCCAATACAGAAATATCATTTATTTATTTGTAAGATTATTGTTAATGTTGCCAGTGTCAATAGTAATTAATACAAAAAATTGGGTGCCGTTCTTAACCCAACGGATTATTTTACATTTTAGTGTATTTTGAAATTTTAATTTTTCTGTTAAATAATTTTTCATATTATTAAATATTTTCCTATGTAGTTTGTTTTACTGTTAAATGATAAAATTAAATAGGTGGCAATTTTTGTTCTCTATAATGTTTTACTATTGCTTATTACATTTGGTACTCTTTTAGTAATATTATCAAAATAAATTATATTTAATTAATACTTAAATTATATTTAGTATAGACATTTCATTAGTTTTATCAAAATAAATTATTTTTTAGGAAATGAGGCTTCAAAGCTTTTGTATAGATTGCTTTTAAAATTATTTTTAAATCTGTTCAGTTGGTCAATAACAGAACAATTCAGCATCAAATAATAAAAAAAAGTCAATAAAATAAATGTTAAAATTAAAATATAAACAATATTATGCATATTTTAATCAGTATTAGTTTTGAAATGAAATTGAATACTCCCGATGTAACTTAAAACAGTTTATAAGTGGTTAATTCGTGTTAAAAAAAAGTTGGTTGTCACAGGACGCCTGGCAGATGTGAAACATCTACTTAAAAAAACTATAATGAAATATGGAGTAAAAATAAAGAAACATTACGCAGCTTCCAGTATACGCGCGCGCGTACAAGGGAGTTAGAGCGGTGGCGTAGAAGGGGAATGATGGCATCTAGAGCGGTGGCGTAGAAGGGGCATAATAGTATGACAGCATCATACCGTGTGCCGTTACGCCTTGCGAGTTGGTATTACTGCCAAGACGCCAATAGATGTTTCACATCAAAAACTTTTATTGTATTAAGGTATACAACTTTGCTCCCGCCGTTTTTTTAAAGATGGCGCTAGCGACAATTAGACGTCAAGTGCATACATGATGGACGACGTAAAATACTCTTTAGTATCTTGTGAACATAACCTGATAGCAACAGAAGTTGATTTGTGTTTACATCATATAGTTATTCTCGAATAAAAATGTCAACTTATGAGCCGAATTGTCGTCATTTGCGGGAAGTGTTCATTTATTTTTTTAATATTAAAAATCTGTGGCTGAGGCTCACCGAGTGCTCTTAGACGCTTATGGTGAAGTTCCTATAAGTGAAAGAACATGTTGTGAGTGGTTTCAATGCTTCAAAAGCGGTGATTTTTGCTTAGAAAACCGGCATAGTGGTGGAAGATCAAGTTTTTGAAGATGAAGAATTAGAACATTTGCTCAATGAAGACTCGTGTCAAAGTCAAGAGGAGTTGGCAAGATCATTGCAAGTGAGTCAAAAAACAGTTTCAAAACGCCTAAACAATCTGGAAATGATCCAGAAGCAAGGATATTGGGTGCCATACGAGTTAAAGCCTAGAGATGTTGAACGACGTTTCTGTATTTGTGAACTTCTGCTTGAAAGACAAAAACGGAAACGATTTTTACATCGCATTGTAACTGGTGACGAAAAATGGGTTTCACGATAACCCCAAGCGCCGAAAATCATGAGGATATCTCGACCAAGCTTCTGCGATAAAGGCTAAACCGAATGTTCACGGCTTCAAGGTCATGCTCTGTGTTTGGTGGGACCAGCTCGGTGTAATATATTATAAGCTGTTAAAACCGTCTCAAACAATCACAGGAGATCTTTATCGAATGCAATAAATGCGTTTGAGCCGAGCATTAAAAGAAAAACGGCCGCAATCCTTTGAAGGACATGATAAAGTAATTTTGCAACAAGACAATGCTCGGCCTCGTGTTGTAAAAATTGTCAAAACATTCTCAGAAAAGTTGAAATAGGAAGTCTTACCCCACCCGCCGTATTCTCCAGATGTTGCTCCCTCTGACAATCACCTATTCCGATCCATGGCACACGGCCTGACGGACTAGTACTTTCAGACTTATGAAGAAATCCAAAATTGGATCGATTAATGGATCGCTTCAAAAGATAATAAGTTTTTTTCAACACGGGATCCGATTGTTGACAGAAAGGTGGGCAAGAGTAGTGAAAAACAATGGACGATACGATTGAAACATAAATGTATAATCCGTTTTTTTACAATGAAGCTTTGAATTTTGAAAAATAAACGGCGGAAGCAAAATTGTATACCCAATAATATTTTTAAGAATAATGGCAAGAAATTAAATTAGTTTTACTCTAGTTGAAATCAAAATAAATTTGTTTAAAATATTTAATGATACAATGAAACTATACAGATAGCTATATTTTTATCAATGTAATAAAAAAAACTGCATTTTATTCTATTTGTTGATTCCTGAAGTTATAATGTTACTGTAATTGAATTTTGATAAGATAAATGGTTCAGTGAATTCTAACTCTATTTTCTTGCTCTATTTTGTTATAGTTTACATTAATTTGCGATATGATAATTATTTCTGTTTAAGGTAAATAAAAGTTTGAAAAGCTTATTTTCTTTCATTTGCCGTAGCTTTTTACAATATTTTTATTTGTTTGTAATGTGAAAGCATTTAAAGAATCAAGTAATACAGACAATGTTGCAAGACTTGAATTCTTTCAGATTTAGGTTAAAATTAATATAATAAGATTGCAAATGTTTGTGAGTTATGAGTGTACTGTGTAATATAACATAGGATAATTTTGATGGCTTTTATTTGAAATTGCCAGATTTAGCCAATATTGTCAAATCATAATTCATCATCATCAACAATAAAAATAAAAGCAGCTTTCATGAAAGTTTTAACTATCAATCACAAAAAAAACTCCTAGAATGTTAAAAACATTTAATTTTATATAAACAAAAGTTGTATGAGATCACTTTTATAATAAATAAATATTTTAATTTGTACTTACATAATATCACATTATATACATTATAAATTTAAAACATTCATTGTTATTTGGGAATGGGACTTTAGATGAACATTTAAGCCATATCTAGTCTGGTACGATTTGTCACACAAGTGACAGTGGAAATTCTTTACACCAGTATGAGTTAAAGAGTGTCTTTGTAATTCAGACTTTGAGAAAAATCTTTTTCCACAGCTTTCACACCCATATTTCTTCTCTTTTAAATGATTTTTTCTAATATGAGAGCTTCTAGAGCTTGACGATATGAATGTTGCATTACAAACTTCACATTTATGGTTTCTTGTCCGTTTATGATTCCACAATATATGTGAATGAAGACTACCGGGCACTTTGAACTTTTTGGGGCAGAATTTACAACTATAGGCTCTATCATTACTGTGTGTTAGCATATGTATTCTTATATATCCAGGCGGATATGATTTTCCACATTGATCACACTGCCGTAATATTCTTTCAGATTTATTTTTATCCTTATTTTCCGAGTTTGGCTGACAAGAATGATGTTTTAATTCATCAGTACTATAAAAGCCTTCCCAGCAGTTTTCACAAATAAAAGGCTTCAAATGAAGCTTTCTGTGTAAAACAAGTGATCGAAAATCTTCAAATTTTTCATTACAGTATTCACAATCTCTACCTATTACAGATTTGACGGGATGATTATTAACACAATGTTCATTAAGAGATTTTACAGAATGAAACTCTGCCTTACATTCTACACAAAATAATAATTTATCTTCAACTACTGCCTTGCTTTCCGTTTGAACTAGTAATTTTTGTCTACCATGAGGTTTTTGGAATACTTTAATAGGCTTAAGGTCGTCAGATTCAAAGCTCGCGTCGTAATTATCACTGGCTGAATCCGCAAAGTTAACATTTTCAGTTAATGTTTTTAAGCTATTTTCAATAAGTGTTTTGAAGGAGTACGATAAAGTTAGTTGATGTACACAATTAATGCAAATTTTATCAGGCAAGGAATCATCTGGTGGTATCTGAAAGGAATTAGCTTTTTAATAACAATTTATAACTTAACAACTATCACAAAGCTAATATTATATATTTAAATTATTTTACAGTGTAATTGTAGATATTTCGCAAAACATCAGATAAGCGGACATCGTCTCCAGCAATCGATATCACTGAATGAACGTGCCGCATTTCTTTTCCACTACTTAAACAGGTTCTACATCGATCTTTATAACTCATTATTTCTGTTAAAAATCTGTAATAATATAAAAATCGATGTTTAAGTATAAATTAACAAGGTTTCTAATGTTTTGAAACTTGAAAGCAATAAATAATTGTTTTCAAACAGAGAGATGACAGATCACACTTGACAGATTGAGATTACAGACCAGGAACAACAAATCACAGATTATGGAGATTATTAGATAATGTCACAGACTGTCTACACAAATGACAGAGATACACTAATGTCACTATGATATAAAAAAAGAGATGTATTTGTAAAATATTATAAAAAAAGGATACACAAGATATAAATACAATAATCAAAAACAAATCATATTAGCCTCGAATAGTGGCTAATCTAGTCTCAGATAGTTGTCAAATTACAGTATTAAAGCGTATTATGCGGTACAATGCTCAACTTCGAACTTTTCAATTACATCAACGCTCCGCACAATTGAGCATTTTGAAAAGTACTGTTTTGGCGTGATGCGCGCTATGGATACCAACTCAGTGAGGATAATTCAGTGGGTATTAATTCTTTGTACAAAATAGAGCAGCTGTCTGTTCTCATATTAGTGATGGACGTGGACGTGAAAACGGGATACATTTTTTACACTATGCATGAGGCGTTCTATAAGCCAGGGGCCAGTTCCCTCTTCCAGGGCATCAGTTCCGCATTTTTTCTTATTCCTACTATTATAACACTTTGTCAAAGATCTGCATGATCTTCACCCACATTAGCCTCTTAAATAAATTGAAATTATTAAGTAATATTTTGATCAAGTTTTATTCATTACTACAAAGCTTCGATCAATAATACTACTAGATATCGAGTCGGCGTAAGAAATCCGTCTCTGTAAATATCAGCTCACTTGCAAAGTGAGCGTATATTTCGATTAGTTCTATTGAAACATTGCCAACATAAACACGTTCACAATGCCGCAATATATTATATATTATTTTTAGGAACCGGCAAAAATTAAACTTATGTGTTGCTCTGAAATACAATGATTTATTTTACAACGACAAACAATTTAACTCACAAAGCAAGAAGGGGAAAAAGTGGTTTATTTTTTTTTTATATAAGATTGATTTATAATAAAGATTATAAAACTTACGAAATGATCGTAAGTGGATGATGATAATCCAGAGATTTGTGACATTCTTACAAGGTGCTATGGTGTTGATTAGCTTGAAAATAAAACTATTATAAGACTTTGAATTTCATTTGTATACTAAAGAACCAAGAGGTTCTTTAGTATACAAATGAAACTGTTTAAGTTCATAACGCGTGGACAGAATTTAGCTTTGAGTTTTTAGTGACACGTTATCTAGTAATAGTATTGTTGATCAAAGCTACCAAGCGAGTGCTTGCAAGTTGCGGAGCGATCTTCTTCCTGAAGTTATCCATATCCATGAGTGTTACAATACGGCCTACGGGCATTCGTGTCTTACAGCCTCTCATAATTTATAATTATAATGGTATTTTAGCTGTAAATTGTTATAAGTGGTTAAAGTTCTTTATATTCTTAAAAAACAACATATTATAAAATTTAAAATAAAGAAATATTTAACTTGTTTCAATTTTATCTGTTGTATTTTTTAAAGTTACATACATTTATACTAATAATTATAATGTGTAAAAATAACTATGGAATTAAATCCTCGGCTCAACCTGAAAAAGGACGCCATCTTTTGGCATTTGACAGTTACATTGCGTGACATTAAAATAGTCAATTTGTAATTTTATCTTTTGCAATGTTTTGCCAACCACCCGAAGAAGAATCACAAATAGTCCGAAGTGTTCCAGGAAACAAAAAACATCGAAAACCTAAGAAGAAAAATAAATTCAAAAGAGAGGTGAAGAAAAAACATACAAAATTTGCAAACACAATGTCAGCTTGGGCAGAAAACTTTGCTGTGGCTGCGACTTGGCAATTAAAACACCAAGTTGCTTATTGGAAAGCGCGTGCTAAGGCTCTAGAATATGAAAATACAGTTTTACACGATGTTATACGTAGAAATAATTTAGTTGTGCGTAATAAACCCACTTCAAATACTGATAGTAAAATGCGAACTGATCCCGAGGTTGACAATAGTGAAACAGAAAGTGAGGATGATGAAGAGGTTCCAGATGAGGAAGACTTCGAAGTAAGTGAAGAGTTCATACAGTTTTTGACGGCCAACGCCAAATATAAGGAAGACGCTAAAAGGGAACGAGAAAGATTAAAAAAATGTGAAGAAGAAAATCAAGAAAATTTACATGAAGAGCCTAGAGAAACATTTGAAGAGAATAGGGAAAGAATGAAAGAGCTTTATGGTGATAAGTGGCAGAGAATATCTGCATTAGAAATGTCTTTATTGACAACTTTCATTCATGATTCTGATAAAAACAAACCAAAATACTGGCCAAATATACCATTCAACTTCAATAGTAGCTGAAATTTACTCTGCACACACATTGTGTTAACATATTTTTTTTAAACTATAAAATACTGAACTGTGATTAATGTACTTTATAAGATTATTTTTATAAGCTTTTTGGGTGTTGTAATTACAGTATATGAGATAAAAATTATATGTTTTTAGAAAAATAAAAGTTTGTACATTTTATTACAATATAAACTTCTCTTTATTTTTTTATAATATAAATCTTTATATACATTCTTTTTATTATCTTAAGCTTCTTAAGAGCTAGTATTTTATGAATTTTAGGTCTTTTAAAATTATCAATTATTATCCTGCATTGTGTTATAAATCCATTTAAGAACACAGTGATTGAGCATTCTGCGAAGATTTGTCATAATATCAAAGGTGACATGCTAGTAGTTTACTGCCAATAATTTGTATATATTATAAACTAGAATTGCTTATTTATACTGTTACCAACATATGATAACAATTAAAAAAAATATTTTAGATATATGTGTGTATCTATTTTATTTTCCATAATAAAATGTTGGATTGGCTTGATTGGTAGCACATGTATTAGAAATAATAATAGCTTATATATGAGTTATGACAATTAAATCATAAAAGTCCCTACAGTATACAGCATGCTAACTGGAGATATGATTTATGCTCCGGATAAATAATATAATCTTAGATGCTTGTACCTCAAGGGTAAGTAATGGTAGGAAACTAAGGATTTAACACAAAACAACTAGAACTTCTATTTTTTTTATTTTAATTAAAGCTAATAATTGTCCATATATTTGGTTGAGTAAGTTTTTTTTATTTTGTACACTTATCAACTAACAATTTTTTAATTCAGACTACTTCTTGTAAAATAAATTTACTCAGATCGATGTTCATTTCTCTATCATCACCAAAAACTTTTTTTTTTGTAAAATACTATGACATTTTTGAGTGCATTATAATTTTTCTAGTGTTTGTGCTTTCAAATTCCTTATTCTATTTGGTACTTAAATAAAAAACCTAGGATAAAAGTTATCTTTACTTCGAATTTAATTCATATCCAAAAAAAATACTCACTGACCATACATATTTATAAATATTATGCTTTTAGGTATCCAGTTCCCATAAAACATATTTTTTTTAAACTTTAAAGAATAAAAAACCTTAACATAAATTTTTTTATTCTATGTATCAGAGTGACCTGCATTAGCACTCCCTCGTTTTGGATTAAGTCGATGATTCAATAATAAACTAACGCTACGAAAGAAATATTGGACGTTACTGCTTAATGAGAATATATTTACCGTTGTTGACGATGCGATATTTTTAATTAATTTTCAAATTCATTTTTAATTTAATAGGCTCAAAGTCGATATAATTTTATTAAAAACCACACATCTAAATGAATAATTAATTTTTAATTATTTTGAAGTTGGTGTTTTTTACCTTTCTATGTTTTACCCAATTAGGAATAAAACTTAACGAGATTCCATACGAGTAGAAACGTAAAGCTAAGTGATTCGAGAGTGGCTGCCAGAAGTAGGCTAAAGTCATATTTACAGCAAATTAGACTTAATAGCCTAACAAGCCGGATGGAAAACTTAATGCTTAATGAAGCGCTATTTAATAAAAAAAATAAATCTAAGAACTCAACCTATTTCGAATACTTGCATTTGCACCGCCTTTTCGGTTGGTTTGCTTGTGGTCCTAGGTTCGAGTTCTAGTTTAGATCAAAAAGATTTGTCATGTTTTTTACCAACAAACTTAGTAGTATCCCTGAGATGGAAGTTATTAGTGTTAATGTCTGCAAATTTCGTAGAGGATATAATCTGTCACTCCTACCGCCTACACCTAAGGTAGGTTCGGGTAATAAGGCCTAGCTAAGGGAGATTTGAAATAAAATAAAAACTGTATACTGAAATCAATTAATTTTAATGTTAAGTATGCTTATAGAACCATTACTATTAAATAAAAACCAAAAATGGCAATTTTTGCTGTAAACAAAAACAAAATTAGACATTTTTTAAAACACTATCTAAAGGCCTTTTTATACTATGGTCGGGTAATAAGGCCTAAGTCTTTTTACATACATAAATAATCTAAATATGCATCTTATATTTGGTAATTGCGAACAATAATCATAGATATGCATTATTCACGCATGAAGTCTTAAATAGGAAACAGATTCCTTTGATTAACAGCCGTCAGGACACTCAAAAGAGTCCCTATCATCTGCTGATAAACCAACACATTCCTCTTGATACCACTTGCTGCATTTAGCACATTGCCTTATATCTGCCATCTTACCCTCTTTACAACTATGACAGTACCAGCTCACTCAGCTCGCTTAGTACCACTTCTACCTTTGAGATTCGATGTTTTTATTATTTTCGTTCCTTTCGTGTTTTTGTCAAACCGGTCTTTAGTTAGTTTAGACTGAAGTTCTCCTGTAATTTAAGGGTTTTCTCCTAAGTATTGATGTTTTTTCCAATCCTAATTATCATAAACTTCACTCAGTCGCTTAAAGTGATTATCAACAATAAATTTATTAAGCTTTTGAGCTCTGGCCGGGTTCATGAATTGAGCTTTTCTTCTAGATATTTCTGCAGTCTTTTCATGAATGCTTTAAATCAATCTTTCTTTACCTGCAACTCTAGGAGATGGGTTCAAGTTATGCTTGATGTTATTAAAATGTTCGCAAATTAAAGATCAAGCGTCGAGAATCAGTGGTGGCACAGGCAATCCAATTTCAGCGAACTTCATGATTCTCCTTACAAATTCAGTTTCCTGGTCGTCACTGAGTATGGATTTTTGACCTAGTGTTTTTTTAAACTGCCGGTCTGAATATGATTCCTAATGGTTCTTCTGGGAACTTTATACTTCTCAACAGCTTTATACTTCTCAGCAGCTTGCTCAGTATTCCTCTTTCTACCGCTCGAACAGCCAACAAGTCATTTTCAGACCACAATGCTCGTTCGGGAGGCATTGTGATTGCTGTGACTAAAAAGAGACAATAAACAATTAGTAAACAGTTGTCATTACTTTTTATAACACTCCTAGCTATTTAAAAAAGATACTAACTAAAGCTGTGATATTGATACAAAAAGGAGGATAATAAGGCCTACGATCAAATTTTGTAGGCCTTAATAACCATCGGCAACACGTGTAAAGAAAAATAAAAATAAAATGAAACGAACTATGATATTATAATTTAACTTCTAAGGTCATAAAAGTATGAAATTATAGAAATTTATAATGTAAAATTACATAATTATGTAAAATATTTTAAAACATACTTACGTTTGTAACTGACGGTTTTTTATTATTCGTGGTGTCACAGCCGCATCCCACAATGAAAGATGTCGCACTGGCGACATCAGACGGGCCCTTTTGTCGCGACATGTTTAAGGCACCATCTTTGAGTGTTAGCTACCTATGTTTGTGATCTTGAGTGATTCAAACAATTTAAAGTTGGATTTCTAGAGCTTAGGCCTTATTACCCGATAGGCTTTATTACCCGAACCTACCTTAATCTTTCATCGGTTTTATCAGATTCTCATCCCACCAGACAAGAGTGAAACGGATAGAGAGTGCTGCATGTTTATTACACACTTGTGCAAAATAACATCCCTCAAGTCCTAACATATGCAATTGACAATGAAATTAGCCGCGACTGAAAATCAATTTGGAAGACATTATTATTAGTAGGAAAGTAAGATTTTAACTTAATTATTTTTTTGATAATTTGAATCAAATCTCTAGTGAGTAAACGACTCCAAATAGGTTATTGAAATCTGCCGTTAATGGTCAAGTCGTCTTGGTTTAGAAACAGTTTCTGGTCTAGACTAACTTATAAATTAATACATATGTCTACATATGTATATGTATGTACATTTTTTTATTTCCAGTATTGTATGTTATGTGCGTATCTTTGCTATCGTTTTATGACTTGCGATTCAATTGAATGAGTTAATTAGTGTAAATCTAATTTGCTCAAACTAGAACTTGCTGTCTAAACATGTAAGATTTTTATATGTTTAAATATAATAAAAAACACTCGCACTTGCACTCGCAGATGTAAAGCGGAGAACGATCTTAGGCATCTCTATATGTTATATTTACCTACCTTTAAAAGATGTCATGGAACGTTTTTCGCCACGATTTTTTTACTTCGGCAATAGCTTATAGAAGGCAGTGGTAGTTCAGTGGTAACGAATTTGGGAAATCGCGTTCAAATCCCGATTCTCGTCTCTTTTTATACGCTAATAATAATAATAATAATTTTCAACATCATGTCTGAGAGAACTTACTTAGTCTTGGAAATATTTAAAACCCGCCAACCTGCATCTCGCTTGCGTGGTAGAATATGTCCTGAACCCGTAGCATTGAGATGAGCTTCCCAGCAGTACCACTGTCAATCGAACTCGCAGTCCTTAGCGGATTATTCAGGCACGCTACCACTGCGCTACTACCAAATACCTACACACTGAGTCATAGACACAGTAAAGCAAAGTAAAGAGGTATGACTTCAATGTGGTAAACTAGTTAAAAGACTGTTGTAACATTTTACTTAATCGTGATGCCAGTATTAGTTTCCCTGTTACCTAAAACATGGATTCGAGAGGCAAGAATTGCGTTTATTTCTTATGATGAAATTGTTGCATCAGTGGACATTTTTTGGCTGGTGTTGTTGAAAAATAAGGTCTTTTTTATTAAATTTGTTATAGTCTCAACTGCCTCGGTGGTGTAGTGGCTAGCATGTACGGCTGCACACCTGGAGGTCCTAGGCTCGAGTCCCGGGTCAGGCCAAGTTTAGTTATTGAGTATTTCTGTATAGTAAGTCTCAGTAACAGCCTGGAGTTGGGAAGTTGGCGGTGTTTTACCCCCGTGCCTCGGAGAGCACGTAAAGCCGTCGGTCCTGCGCCTTAACTCTCACCGGTCGTGTCTCGTGTCGTCCTATCGGAGTATGAGAGTGACAGGAATAGAGAGTGTACGTTGTGTCTGCGCGTACACTTGTGCACTATAATATTTCCTGCGCAGTTGGCTAGTCTCAATGAGATTGGTTCGTTTCTAGTTTTTATTTTAATAGTATTACTATAGTTTTGAGTGTACTCATGCAATTTATAAACGTAAGTAAACTATTTTTTCCATCTAAGTGTATTTATTATTTATTTTCGATTAAGTGACAGGGATAATTTAATAAGAACTTTTTAACAAAAAAATTAAAACCGACTTCTAACAAAAGCACTAAAAAGTAAAAAATAACTGATTGGTAGTTTTCATTTACTATACATACCTAATCAAATATTTTCGAAGTCGGTGTGCTTTGGCTAAGTAATTAAAGCCTATCTATTAAATACATACCTAATCAAATATTTTCTAAATCGGTGCCAGCCCATACAAATGTTAATAAATTTTTATTTTTCCCCTTTTAGTGTAGACAGTAGTAGCAAAGTAAGAATTATTATAACGTGTTAGGCTTGTCAAATCAAACAAAATAAGCCCAAACTCAAAGTATCTACTATTAGTCGTTGAAGAGTTCCACCTATCCACCTTCTGGCCTTACCATCAAATCAGGTCAATAATACCGAACCACTGTACTATCAACGGAAATAGAAACACTTGCAAAGTTTCAAGTCAATATGACAATTAGAAGTAGGTTAAACTCATCATTAGTTATTTTTCTACCCGTAGGGGTGGTATTTTTTTTAATTTAAATGGAAAAATCTGGAAGTATACACTTTCAAACAAAACTAAAAATGTCCAAATCGGTTAATAAATAACGGAGTTCTAAGGTAACAAACATAAAAAAATACAGCCGAATTGAGAACCTCCTCCTTTTTGAGGAAGTCGGTTGAAAACTAAGCTGCAGCCACACATTTTACGACGGCATTTTCATTTCTGAATTTGCTGGACCGCTGGCGTGTCTAAATGTAAAGAAATTCTGTTTATAAACACAATTCGGTGTTTATCTTAGCTACTGCATGTAGTAGGCTCAGTCATATTGTCTTGTCAGGCAAAATGCAAGATGTATGCATTACATGTTGAGTAAATGGCAAAAGCAGAAGCTTTTTACAAAGTTCGATTTACAATGGTTGGATATGTTTTATTAATATACTAAAACTAGCGACTAACCTCGGCCCGCTCGGGTTCGTGTCTAGTTATGTTTAAAAGTTAAGTAGATATATTTTTCCCGCGGTAAAAAGTATCCTATATGTTGACCCGGATAACCAGCTATCATCATACTAAATTTCATCAAAATCTGTCCAGTGATTTACTAATAATGCGGTCACAGACAGAAAGAGAGACAAACAAAAATTCTAATAACTATACATTCGGCCTCTGTATCAATAATAATGACTATATCAATAAGAATTTAAAAAAAAATGTACAGATATATTGTAACGATGTCAATAATGTACATTGAATATTTGAATAATATATATATATATATATATATATATATATATATATAACCCTCCCTTAAAGATAAATTTATTTTTGGAATTTATAAGGCTCCACCCTCGGAGCATGAACTTATCCTGTTAAAGTGTCTCTTCTTATTTGAAGGTTAGGTTAATACTTACAATACTTTAGGTTATTGAGAATCAATTCAAAGTTCAATAAAACCCGTTGTGATTTTAGCTTGGAATAATGTTGTTAAATTAAGGCTTACAAAGAATCGAAGATGCTAATAGAAAGAGAAAGCCTATATAAAAATATTATAAAAAAATAATTTTATATCAAACTAGCGACCCATTTTCACCCTCTTAACTACGCTATGACCTTCCTAGGGCCTCTATCTATCTTCATACCAAATTTCATCTTAATTAGTTCAGTAGTTTCGGCGCAAACAAACAAACAAAATCTTTTCTCTTTATAATATTAATATAGACACATACAATTCAAAAAAACACTCATGTTAGATTTTGATGCAGTTTCACCCTAAAGCGTATTTTGTCACGAAATCTTATGCATATTTGATTAAACCAGTTCTGAATTTCCATTGGCCTTGGGTCCGTGTCGGGAGCTTTGAGAATATTTCAACCTTTTTTCTAATGTCTCTTATAATGCTGTTTTTATCTTTACAGTTTAATTTGACATTATATATTTTTTTCCCTTTCTTTATTACAAAATGATAACACCCTTGACTGGTCGAATCAGATAAAAATTGCTTTGGATCATAATAATAAGTAATAATTTACTATTTAATAATATAATATTATGGGTTATTACATACATACATATATACGACTGATATACGAGTACATAAACGTCGTGATTTAGTGGGAAATACATAGTAAATTACATAGTAAATGTGTTAATAGCTAGACGATAAAGAAATATGTAGTGGTCAATCAACCCAAATTGGACTGAAGTCGACTAAATTAAAACAAAATACGTTTTGTGGTCTTACTAATGTCATAAAATAAATAAAAAAATATTTGTATAAGTAAAAGTGTCGTTGAGGTTTACCATATAACACAGTATCTTTCATGAGGGCAGAAAACACTGTATTATCCACCTTTACCTACAAGGTTTTCTGAAAATCTATACATATAATAAAATTGTAACCGATCGCTGTCTGTACATGGAAGATATTTGAGAAAAACTATTATTGGGGGTCTTTATTAACACAATAGGCTCCAAAACAATCATCATTAATATTTTCGTCTGTTCGTCTGTGCGTTTGAGTGCGCTAATCGCAAAAATGGGCTTAACCGATTCGGGTGCGGTTATAAAGGTTCACTTAAAATTTAGTATTTGTTTTATTTTAATCAGTTCATAAATAAAAAGTTATTTCAATTTAAAGACTCACCTAGGGACTAACTGCTGTTTGCGTTCGCTGTCCGTGGGTCGTTAATAAATAATATTTTCGAAAGTTGTAATATGTGTACATATTTTACAATAATAAGGTTTGACGGATTAAGATAAAAGTTTGTGCACTAATAGACTATTTCCTGGAGTAACAAATAGGCTACATTAGACGACACCTAGGGACGTCCCGAGCGAATCAAGTGTAAGCCTAGTAATATATGTATACAAAAAGAAAGGAAGCTCTCTCATGTTATTTTTTTTAAGATGATTAGGAGAAGTGGTTGTGACAATGTAAGCGTATACCATATACAGAGATACCTAAGAATATTATAAATTTTGCTGTAATTCTTTCTATAAATAAAATTAAATAAGAATTTTTTAATCTATGTATTATTTAAAGCATCATCGAATCTCTACTAAAGCAAAAAAGCTTAGTTGTTGCCATTTATCAATAATAATCAAATTAATTATATATAAAACCTACCACTAACAAAATTTAATAGCTACATTTATTATGTGAATCAAAAATATTGTTTCATTTGCATAAACTACTGTACATAAAAGTTACTTTAAAATTAGAGGGC